CAATGTAAAACCATCTAACTCTCCTCTTTTGTTCTGTGATTCATAACGTACCCTCAGTCACGTAACAGGCATTGTTCTAGGCTGTGAAAAGAGAGGTAATAGGGGTCAGTCGCGTGTCTTGTTAGGTCAAACGAGGTGACTTTGCGAGGTTCCGATAGGGTGCGTAACCTTATCAAAAATTCCACTCAATTTTCATTTTACTCTTGTTTACATCTCCTGGGTTTTTGCCTTTATGAAAACGTTAAGGAAATGGAGGAATTTGAGAAGTCGAATATTGTTATCTTAGGCTTACTGAAGACTGTAGATTTTAATAGATTTTATTGCAACGTTAATTTCTGCGTCGAATTTTCATAACAATACTCATCCACTTTCCTTTGAATTTGCGAAAAGTGAAGTAACCAAACTCTCTCAGTTTGTTTAGTTTATACAAAGGTTCCAAGGCATAATAAACGAATGAATATCATATGAATTATCACACTATATATATGATATCCTTCTATGACACCAGGCATTATATAAACTGAAAATAAGGAACTGCACTAGTAAATAGACATTAATAAGCACATAGACCTACTTTCCTCATCTATATTCTTACGTCTGGCATTGTGGCTTTAGGTAGGTTTTGATTTGAATACCAGACGCGGCAAAGGGTGTGCTGCCGTGGTCTCGCGTGACATTTATCGCTGTGTGAAAAAACAGCAATATTTCTGGTTGTTGATACAGGTGGTCCTATGTGACGGTAGCTTTCTTTACCATAAGAGACAGTAGGTTTTATTTATTATATTAATAGATTATATTTCGTGATAGAATATATGGTATTGTATATATAGAGGCAACAGAAATTGCGAGAATGTAGAATGTTGGAAGCATATATTGGCGTTCTGTGACTTGCGTCCTGTAGTACACAATAACGAGAATAAAATATCCTCAGATAACAAACACACCAAACAAAGCATCCTTTACTTCTGAACAAAGAACAGATTAGTGGTTGAAATCAGACAGTAAAACCTGTGCCACAGATGACGCCCTACCACCTGCATTTAGTAA